GATCGAGATGTCGATAACGCGAATGATCGATGCCAGGCAAGCAACGACACACCGGGGGAAACGTCTCCTAACCCGGTTGACAGTGCTCGACCGGTGTCGATCCCCGGCTACGTCTCATTTACTTCGTTAAATGCATCGTGACTTCTTCGTTGCAGCCTGTTGTCCTCTCACCCTCCGCCGCCGACCTGTCCGCCGCGTTCGCACGCCGGGCAAACGTCCAACGATGTCCTCGGCTCTGTGGATCGTTTGTTAAACGAGCGTTCGCTTTCCGGTATTTTTGGATATTCTTGAAACCGTCCCCATCCCCCCGCCGGGTGACGAGGATATTTTCGGTGGACGACGGGCAATTGACGTGACGTCTTCTGGAATTTGATGCCCGATAGGCAACTATGGAACACAGATAGCAGAGAAGCGAAGCAAGGCGTTTGAAGGAGAAGCTGGCGCGGAAATTTTGTTCTATTCTGGGATACTTTAGTCGTAAGTATTGCGTATAATTAGATTTGTGGGAAATTCGATTCGGTCGCGGAAATAAGAAGGAAATGTGTAAACTAGTCAAAATGGCATCTTTTGTTGTAAAATGTACGACACAAATTTTTCTATTCCGAAAGTTCTATCTATTTAGTCTTGGCCGTGGAAGTGTGAGTTTGCAGGAAAAATTTGCAGAATAGTTTGGTCATAATTTTGCTTTCGAGTAATACGTGTCACTAATTGTAGGTCTCGAGATAGCTAATAAGGATGTTTTTTCTTTTTTCTTTTAAATTCATCACGGAATATGCAATTATTTATTTCATCTTCTTGCTATGAATAACTTCAGTCAATATTGTTTTTGTTGCACATAAATTTCAGCTACTAAAAGATGCAATTTTGATTGAATTCTTCTTTGAATAAATTCAGTCAATAAATTATTTGTTTGTAAAGTTTGACTCTAAAGTTTGAAGTTCAATTCCGACAGATGAATTCAAAATTTTTATTTTTCAGAATATTTAAAAATAACATTATTTTTTACCATGGCAATTGTTAGGGTTAATTTTTCGAAAACTTCCATAAAAATATTTCTAAATTTTGGTTGATTTTCCTGTTTTAATTCTTCTGTTTCCCGTTAGCCCGCTGTTTTTATCGACTCAGAACACACGGCGATTAATCTCTTTCCAAAGTCGCGATGGTCAGCTTAGCGGCGGATGCATTATGTCAGCATCTCTTTGCCGTACGTTTTAGTTTTTTTGCATTTCCGTTTTGCGTCTTCTTACCGTGAACAATTAATATTCTCTCAGTGTCGAGGAACTGAACTATGCATCTATTAAGCATAGTATACAATGTACGTACGAACATCAAATACTACGTAATACATCAAAGCTATTAAGCTGACGAGGTTACTACACTCTGGGAATTAAACTGTGATTTACGACAGTGAAAAGTTTCATTGATATTTACCGATCTGTAATCTACGTGGACGTATTTTCTTAAGTGAACACGGTCTGTTATTTAATGGACGAACGGATCGAATCCAAGTACGAATTTAAAGTTTGATAATAGTTAAGTGCTAATAACGGCGGCGTAGGCGGCGGCCATTTCGAATATCGGGCTTATCGCGACGGTGAGGAGCCAACGAAGACTTGGATAACTCAATTACCATAACCCGATTTGTTTCTGATAGAATGTGAAGTCGGCGAACAATTGAGTCTCCTTAAAAGATAAGGATTCCGGTGATTCCACTTTTTTTTCAGAATTCCAATATTAATTTTTCCTGAGAAAAGCTGTAAAATCAACGCTGTTACTATATACCAGAATTACGAGTCTTTCATAAAAATAATCATTAATATAAATCTCAATGATAATAACTGTAATATCGCGATAATTATTATAATATTAATTTAAAACCCAGTATGTGCACATAAATTAAATCGTAATTAAACGAGTGTGATGAGATAATTATGCAGATAATTATAATCATGATTCAGGCCTTAATGAAAATCGATGAATGCATTTTGTAGATGCATCCGTTTATTATATCGTGCTCGCAGAAATTGACAGAAAATCAATTCTTTTTATTAAATTTACTATTCGAAAATATCTGCGAAATGTCAGAAACAGATTCAGGGACCAACGAATCTCATAAATTCGTTAATCATCAACGAACACTTCGTTTCACCTAACGCCTCGTTATTAAATTGGAGCAAGCGAAACGATGATGCGTGCTTCATCGTACGCGGGTGCTATTAAGCTCCGTTAGAAAGTCTGTGAAGTCGAAAAAAAAGTACAGGAAAAAAGAAAAGAAAATGGCAAAAGGAGGCGATTCTCGCCTAGCGGGCAAATCTAACGAGAGAGATTTCTTTTCGAGAGTCGAATATAATTTGCGCGGAATCGGCCCCTTGCGTAATCCAGATTGGCGTGCAACGTGTAATTTTAATTTTAATGTGTCGGGATGTGCTCACTGCTCCTCTAGTTAG